CCCGTTTCATTTTTGGTTAACGTTTTTAAGAAAATTTAGTTTTTTATTTTTTTTATTAACATTTCGTATTACCCCCAAAAACATATAGTTACAAGTAAATTCTAACTTTTATAAATTTTATTGACTTCAAATTTTTATTATCAAAATTGAAGAAAAGTGAAGCAAATTATATATATATATACATCTGGACTTAATTTTTTTTTATAATAAATTTATTTACGTTATTATTAATACTATTAAAGTTTTATGTGCTATAATTTTACTGATTTATTTATACAAATTTTTTTTATTATATTTTGTTTTATATGTAATAAGAATAGAGAAGCCTTTACCTATTAAGTTGTGTTTTTTGGTAAAATAAAAGTTTTTTTTTAAAGCTTGTGATTTCGAAATATAAATATTTTTATAAAAAGTTTTAGCTAATGCGATATTCATTTAATAATGAAAGAGATCCCAGTAATTAACGAAATTATTTAAAAGTAAAGCTAAGTTTTAATAAATTTAAAGAAAACTAGATTTTAAAATATGGTTAAAACATAAACGAGAAAAGAATTATTATATAAACTAACAAACTTTTTAAAATAAGAATAAGTTCCAAATTATTTTTATGACATTTAATTTTAATAATGAAACTAACGAAATTTTTATTTGTGTAAAGTTTATATAAATTCTTATTATTTATTCTTTATATTGAAGGAAAGTGAAGCCATTTGTTGGTTTGATAAAGTTTATCCCCTTTGCCGTTCGGATTCGTGGGAAGGACCACCACCTATAGAAGTTGTGCAGGTTTCGTTTTTTTAACAATCAGCTGTTTGCTATTTACATTTCTCCAATCCGTTTAACTTTTCTTGTACTTATCATTTCTAAAATATATACTTTATGTCATTAATTTTTTTACCTTTTTATATATTTATAAGTTTTCAATAACTTTTATCATTATTTTTTTTAACAAAATTTTAGTGTCCCGGAGAAACAATCTTCGTCCCCAGTGGTTGGTGGCATGTTGTCCTTAATATGGACAAGACTTTAGCGGTGACTCAAAATTTTGTTAGCAGAGTTAACCTTAACCTCGTATGTAAAATTGATTGTCTTATAATAATTTTTTTTTAGTTTTTCCTTATTTTGTCTTTAATATATTCTTAATACCATAAAAAGTTATTTAATTAGTATCAAGCAAACATCGTTAAAGTTTACTATATCAAATTTTTGATATAAAAATCATTTTATTTATTTTTTTTTAATTTTTTATAACCATATAAGAAAAAATAAAATACAAATAATTTTTAAACTTTAATTTTTTATAACCATTTAAGAAATAGAAAATTAAAAGTTTAGTGATAATTGAAGTTTTTTACTATAAAATTGATAGAAAAACTTTTATATTTTAGAACAAAAATTATTTAGTATTTAAGTTTATTTATTAATTCTGTGCTTTTATTGATTATGAAACCTAAAAAAAAAAAGTTAAATCGTATTTTTACATTATAATGTAATATTTTCTTTTATAATAAGAATATTATAATTCTTTATTATTTTTTTACTAATGTATAGTATTCTACGTTTTTTTATTATGTTTAATATTATATTATCTATGAAAAAATTAATTTTTTTAACTTAAAGGGAGTTCTCCATAAAGTGTATAGAGTTGTTAATCTATTAATAAAAAGAATAATTTATTAAAATTATTTTTTTATAAACTTTTAGAGGTTTATATTTTATTAACGTTAGAAAATATTTTATAATTTCATTAGGTATTTATTTACTTATAAGATATATCGTTATGTTAATAATTCTAGAAAGTTTGTATATTTATATTATGCGAACTTCCGAATAACGCATAATTGTTGGTTATACACGGGTGTAATGTTAGTCTGTTCAAGTCTCAGCTTACTTTTTTCTTACTCCAATAGGGATAGGGTAACAATATTAATTTACATAAAAATTATATCCAAGGGTATATACAAGTATAAAAAAATAATAATTCAAATTTTTGTGTTAGAGTTTTACTAATACTTTATATTTATATAATATATATAAGGTGTGGAAATTAACTGTTAAGGGAAGACCGAAGTTTTCAAAATATTGGTTTTATAAAGTTACTCATGAAAACCCACAACTCGCACTGAAAATGAAAGAAGCAAATTTTATTGGTCATTATTACTATTATAAATTTACTATTCTTTTTTATGTAGTAAACAATTTCAAACTTTAAGAAAAGTAAAAAATATTTTTTACTATTGTAACGGGTATGTATTAAATGTCTTTAAGATTGATCGATTATTATTATTTTTTTAGTTAAGACTGAAAAATAAAATTTTCGCTTTGTTTTTTTATTAGACTCTCATTATAAATAGCTGAAATTTATAAGTTATCAAGAAGCAATTTTTTGGCGTTAACCATTATAAATGATTTTTAAGAAAGTTATAGTAATGGCAAAAGATATTAATTAAAGAGTAAAATAATATTTAAAACTAATAATTCTTTTGAAATTTAAAAATTTTTAGAGGTAATTTATATAAATATTCTAGAACGTATATTATACATTTAATAATATATATTAACTAAAATAATAGTTATTATAATATATCTCATGGATACGTAATACTTAAATAAAAATATTTAAATTATAAATAATTATTTTTTGAATATTTGGAGGCACTTTGTATAAATATTTGATAAATAAATAAATAATAATATATAATATGTATATTAATTGCTTGAGAATTTGCTTACTTATTTTTAAGTTTACTTCAAGAAAATAATTATATAATATTTTAATAATTCAGTTTCACACTTAATATATATTTTATTCGTGTTTAACATTAATTAATATATTATTATTTTTAATTTTCTTTTCGTAAAAATATCTTTATAGAAAAAGAGCTTAACTTCCCTGAAGATTCTAGTTCCGAATCATCGTCTTCTACTTCAGACTTTTCTGATTTTCCTCAAGAATTCCAAGATACCATTCTTTCTCAACGCGGCAGTCACCGGAATTATTCTGATTTGAAGAAAAGAAGTCGTTGCACAATAGATCGTAATTATAAAAATAAAAAAAGACCTTAAATATTATTTATATTTTTAACTTCATATATATTTATCTATTTTTACTGAACTTTATTAAAATAATTTTTCTGTAACTGTTGCAAATTTGAAGTTTAGAATTTATAAAAGCAAAAAGAAACAGATTTAATTTTATTAGTTGAACTTTATTAAAAATAGAGTTTGTATATAATTTTATATTTTATGGTCGTATACAACATATTTTTTATTGGAAAATAAATTTAACATTGAGAGTGTTTTAAAATAAATCAAAAAGTTAAAAGAATTTTTTTTAAAAACTTATTTGAAATAATATAGAAAGGATTATAAAAAGTGCATGTAACTGTTTTTTTAAACTTTAGAAATAAAAAAAAATACACTGCGTTTTCCTATACTTGCAAGCGTTAAATTAATGTGCTAACCGCGCAGTTTATAGCTGTGAACAGTTTTATAAATAGTAAAGGAGCGCGCATACACAAGTGGTCTTAATTCATTTATAAAAGAGAAGCATTTTTTTTAATGTAATTTTATATATACTAAGTAAAGTCTTGCTTAGTTTAACTGTATTTGTTTAACTAATTTGCGTTGCAAAGTAAAATTTTTCTGAAAGGAAAAGCTTTCAAAGTATTCTTTATTTAAAAGACCAAATGCGTTAATTTTAATCAACAAAGTCAACAGATCTTTAAAGAAATAATTGTTGTATTTATACTAATAAAAGTTCTTTTTTCCGTTGAATACTATCAATCGATACTAAATACAGTACATACTATATATATATAAATCTTTTAAAAGTATAAAACTTTTATTAAAAAACAGATTTCTTACTATAAAAAATTAATTTATAAACTCTTTATCTTTAAGTCGTTAGAAAAAACGAAAAAATTATTTATAGATATAAAAAATTCTTATCAGCTACGTATAGCATTTAAGAGACAAATTTCCTAAAGATTAACACTTACCTACTCCGACAGATTGTTATTTTTTAAATTCTTAAAACTTGTTTTGTAAATTATAAGCTTTTATGTTATTCTACAAAAAATTTATTAAAGCTCTAAATATTATAAACTTAACAAAAATCTATTTTAGTATAAGAACTTTCGATGCAGTTTTTAGTATAGCGTCTCCCTTTAAAAGAAATGTTTTTTTTTGAACGGAGTATAAGTAGTACAAATATCCCGACGAAATTTCTTGTGCACCTATCAAAATTTATTTTCAAAGAAGCGTCACTCCGGATTCCTCCACAAGTTTATTAAAAAAATGTTTTTTGTTTAACTTTCTATAAACCCTATAATATTTCCTTCTGCAACTTTAAGTGTTTATTATTGTAATAAATAAAAACTATTTGAAACTTGAAAACTTTAACCATTTAAGGGTAAAATAAATTTATCTACTCAACAAAGGTAAAATTCTTATAATAATAACGATAATGTTATAAAAAAATATAAAAATATAAATATGTATGTATTATTTAAAATTTGATGGTATATCTTCATTATGGTATAATTTTACCTTTTTAATCTGTAAAGTTATTAATCATTATCGCTGTTAAATAAAAAATTTCTTTGTAATATAAATTTTCAATGGTATATAAAAAATGAAACTTATAAATAAATATATATATAATTTAAATGATTATTTCGTTAATTTTTCGTATAAATGTATTTTTACTTTACTTAAATTTGCGGAGTTATATTATTTTTTTTTAATAAAAATAAAATAATTTAAGTAAATTTATGATTTTAAAAAGTCTTGTTGTTATGATAAATAAAAATATTAATTAATTATTCCTATAAATATAAAAAATCAAAAATGCTTCCCAGAAGGGCAGGTATTGGAAATTGATAAAAATAATATTTTTATAAATAAGCCATCCCATTTTAGCCTTTTTTATGTATTTTTATATTAAAAACAACTAAACTTTTAAGAAACTACAAGGAAAGCAATTTTAAATAAAGAAGTGAATGTGAATGTAAACTTTATTAATTTTTAGAATAAAAAGATGTTACATTCAAGCTTGAAGCCGTCATTTCTCATTACAAATCCTAAAATTAATTTTAAATAAAAAATTAAACTGAATAAAGTTTAAGTAGTAAATTATAAAAAAATAAATATAATTAATTCAATTAAAAAATATGAATTAGAAAAAAAAATTAACTAAAATTTCTAAAAAAACCAAAATTAAAAAAATTTTTAGTCCGAATAGAAATGTTAAAATATTATAAGAAGTTCCAGCAAACTGTTTACTTTCTTTTTTTTTAAGTATAAGATAATGAAACATTAAAAAAAAATTAGCAAGGAAATATAAAGTCATTTTCATAAGCAAAATGAAAAAAAAATAATTAAAAAAGTTATGTTAGAATATATAAATAAAACCTACACTACTTGATTATTTTTATTATAAAAAAATTTAAAAGCAAGATCAAACTTAATTAATGACTTATACTTAAAAAAAAAAGAAACTAAATATTTCATATAATTATATTTTACTTAATCATGTAAAAAAAGTTTAAATATATTAATAAAGTAATTTATAATAATAACTTTCATTTAAATAAATGAACTAAAATTTATAAATGGAAAATGGATTCTAATAAATATTCAGTATAAGTTTTTTAATAGCAATATCAAACTTTTACTTGTAATTTAACAATTTCTAAATTTCATATATAAACCGATATTATATTTGATCACGACTATAAAAAAAAATAAGTTTAGCAATTTGATTAATAGTAAATGATAATAAAGTTTGCTCATACTTATTTAAAAACTTATACTTAAAAATATAATAGTTTCTATATCACATATAAACTAATATTTAAATCAATCATTCCTAAAAATTAATAAATCAAAAATATTAATAAAAAAGTATTAATAAGTAAACGGTAATTTATAAAAAATAATTTTAATATTTAAAAAAAATGAATTAAGCAAATAATAAATATAAGTTTCTTATTACAAAATCAAACTTATACTTAAAAAAAAACAGTAGTTTATGATATTTCATATAAAAACTAACACTACTTAATCACCGCACAAAAGAGTATAACTATATTAATTAGTAATATACAATACTAAAGAAAATTTTAGTTCCTACATTTCAGGAAATTAGTAAAAAAAATTAAAATTAAAAAGTATATATAAAATTGAGCAGGGGATATACTATTGGATATGGACAGGAAGGAGGATTGGGACTGGGAAAAGAAGTGCAAGACGGCGAGCCCAGCGCAGGATTGGTGGATATAGGTTTTAACAGGCTTGCGTCCTAATTTAGTAATAAAGCTTAAAAAAAATTTATACATATCTATTTTTAATAATGATAAGTTAAATATTATTAATTTCAGTTTATTGATGAACCGAATTATATAAATTAAATAAAAATAAATAATTTATCTTTTTTTATTTTTTTAATAACTTCATAGAGTTGATAAAGTTATTTAATGAAGTTTATAATTATGTAAAATTTATACTATTTGCACGGGAGGATTAGGTAAAATTCCGACGCTTTTAAAAAATGAAGTAACCTGATAAGAAAAAAAAGTCATAAAGACCAAAATAAAAGTAAATATTCATAAATAAACTTGTCTGGGAACTTCCATTAAAGTCATTTCTGAAAGCTTCGAAGGAATTCCGAGACATTCTCTAAAAGGAACTTCACAAATTTATTAGATATCATTTAACAAATATTTCTTTAATATATTAATTTCTTAAAAAAAATAAACTAACCCTCTAAAACAATTTTTTTAATTGAAAATATAAACATCGCTCTCATAATTACTTCTTATATACTATTATTAAATAGTAATTACTTACTTTTAGAACTACTCTTAAATAATTATTAAGTATTTATAATTAAAAGTAATTTTTATTATAGTTATTGCTTATTTACTTTTATTTTTTATTAAATATTATATTTAATTCAAGTGCTTTACTTAATAATAAAACTTAAACCACTAATAATTACAATATATTTTTTTATACATTTGAAATATTATTTTTTGTACATTATAGATAAACCATAAATTATCAATGCTTTACACAAAGATTAAAGTTAAATATTAGTATATAAAATAAATTTTATAACTTTTACATAAACCACAAATATTACTTTATAATATAATTTAAATATAAATGTTTGGAATAATATATTTTTTTTATAACTTTTTTTTACTTTGTTATACATTAAATACAACTTATGAATGCTTTACTTTGTAATTAAATTTGATCTAATAATTTTAAATATATAATTTAATTAAAACTTTTTTTTTAGTTTTATTATATAAACTATAAATTTAAAATGCTTTGCATCATAATAAAATTTATATTTTTAATGTTTATAATATTTTTTTAAACTTTTCTGTAATAATAATGACATTATATAGTACCGAACTGCACGATATCTCGAGCCATTTGCTGGCCTTCTGAACTTCTCAAAGGAACAACATCAGCATCCAAAACGCCCATTTTCGAAAAATCCGAATCTCCAACTCCAACAATAATAATCTTTTTAATAAAACTTTTCAAATACGAATATTTACACATATATAATCATAAAAAAATTTTCTTTAATAATAGTAAGTAAAAAAAGTTTCAAGCTCGACACCGTTATACTTTCCATAAACGTTATATATAAAAATATATTGAACACCTTAAATTTAATTTTATTAAAAAGTTAAAACTTTCCTAACTAAATTTATATATAAGCATAAAAATTTTCTTAAATAATAAGAATTTTATATTTTTAATAATATTTAAAAAATTAAAAAAAATACATATATTTTTTGAAAAAAAGCTCGACTTCTTAAAAGTTCATTAACGTTTATTTATATATATTTATATAAAAAATCTTTAATAAATACTAAAACTAATATAATTAAATGTCACCTATTTATAATAAGAAAATATATAATATAAAAGCCCGACTTGTCAAAAAGTTTCTTAAACATCAATAAAAATTACATTCATTCAGTAAAAAATATTAAATTTAATATAATTATTTAATTTTCAAATTAAAAAATAAAATTTTTGTATAATAAAAAAAAAATGTTAAATAAGAAGTTACTTCTAAAAAAGTTTAGTAATAAATAAAAAGTATAATGTATAAACGTTAATAAAAAAAGTTATATAATATAGATAACGTATATATAAATGTTTGTTTATAAACAATAAAAAATAAAGTTGACTTGAATATAATATTTATTTAGTAAAAAATTAAAAAAAGCTTTTTCTTTCAACGTATTTTACGCCTAATAATAATTTAATAATAATATAGAAAAGTAAAAATTTACTATTACCATAAATAAAAGCGTTTAAAACAAATTAAATTGTCATAGAAAAGTTATACTTAAAAAAAACTAAATAAAAAAACAATAAAAAGTAATACATTATAATATAATATTAAAAGAAAAATACTATAAATAAATTCATCACTATAAATATATTAATAATAAATAGTAATTAATTAATAAATTAAGAAATAAGAAAATAAAAAAAGATAATAATAATTAAGAAACCATTTTATTTATATATAAAAAATAAATATAACAAACATTTTAAAATAATAAACTTTTCATTTTAGTAAAACAAATAAATTAAAATATAAATCAACAATTATTCAGTTCACTTAAAAAAATTGTAATGCGTATAATATAATTGTAATATATATAAATAAAGTTACATGCTCTTTATACTTATAATTATAAACTTAATATAATTTTTTATTAATATTAATATATAAAAGTTTTCTTTAATAACTGTATATATATATAAAATAATAAGACAATATTTTTTATGAAATACTTATTTTTATAAACTTTAGATAAAGTTTTTTATTAATATCAAAATATTAAAGTAATTTATATTACAAGTATAATAATAAACGCACCGATAACGGAAGAGTCGATGCTTTAACAATTTCGTCAATAGTAAATTCCATATCTTTTTTATCAGTATATTATTAACATACAATTAAAATAATTTGTTATGTAATTAATAATATATAAAAAATATTAAAATATACTAAAGTTTAAGCATGTGAATAATAACAATATATATATATATATATATATATATTAAATGAGATAATCAAAAAGTAAAGATATCATGTCCAACAGCAAAAATAACTAAATAACTAATACAAGCTCTTTTATAAATTATATAATGAAATTTTTAAAAGATCATTAAAAATAAAAAAAAATAAGTAAAAAAGCACTAAACAACAATATATATAGAAAATTATTACTTGTTATATTAAAGTATTTGATAAATTAATCCAAAAATAAATAGAAAAGCAAAAATATTAAGAAAACCTTAAAATCAACCTAAAAAAATAAAAATAGTAAAGCGGAAGCAAAACTGTTAATAATTAAAACTAAATTTGCATGAAAATAATTAATTAGACTAAATAAAAAGGCGCGAATTATATAAATGGGAACAAAAAAGAGATAAGAAAAAAGCATTAATGTTAAGCAAAGAAAATAAGCATAAGTAAAAAGTAAAAAGTAAAAAAGTAGAGTATTTACCTAAATGTAATACAGTAATGTGAAAAAAAATAATAAAAGAAAATAAAGCCAATATCCAACAAAAATATTTGAAAATAATACAGTAAACTTACTGAGTAAAAATATAAAAACAAAAAATATTATAACTACACATATAAAAAAATAATATAGAAATAAATATATATAAAAATAAAGAAGTATAATATAACATGAAATAAAAAAAATAAAATTAAACTAAAAAATTTTATAAAAATATAAAGAAGATATCATACAGTGTAACCAAGCACATAAAAAAATAATAAATTAATAGAAAATATATTAAAAAATATATAAATAATATATCAAATGTAATAAAAAGAGGAAATAAAAAAAATATACTAAGTAAATAAAAAGCACCTGATATTATTCCATCCGTAAGCATAAGTAAAATAATATACTTTTGCTTGCCAGAATTCATAGCACGCTTAGCATGTTCCGCTGCATATTTTATTATCTGTAAAAATAATACTTCATTAGGTTATTATGCTAAAAAGTTTTTTTTTAATACTACCCATAATATTAATAATGATCTCGTTAACTAATATAAAAGTGATACTTGTGAAAAGTTTGTGGGGCCAAAAAGTTGAACGCGGCTTAATGTTTCCCGATACGCCTTTAATATTCCTTCAATTCCGTGCACTTCCGGCTAAAGTGAAATAACCAATGAAAATACAAATAATAAAGATAATAGTGGGGAAAAAAAATAATTTAATAAAATAGAGACTATTATAATAATATTTTATTCTTTAATATTGTAAAATTTCGTTAAAAATTTTGCAAAGGTTACATACAAATAATCAAAATAACCAATGAAATGATACGCTTCGTCAAGAGTTATATTACATTAAATAACTTAATTAAAAAATCTATAACCAATGAAAAATTACATAAGCCGCCAGACAAACAAATAAAATTAATGTAATTATTAAATAATAACACTTCCTTGTATACAAAACAATCGTTTACCGCTATTTTACAGGTACAAAAAAAGCCACATGAAAATATATCCTTATATAAACAAAATTGGCCAATTAAAAGCTCACAATTTCTAGCCAAAAAAAAGTTTAAGGCCCCAATTGAAATTAAAATAAATTTAGTGTTTATCATTAAGCAATTGAGTATATATGAAATTCGAGTAAAAAAATAACAAAAAATTTCTTATAATAATTAAATATATTTTAAACCTTTCGTCTTCAAAAATAAAATAAAGGGTTATTTTATAAGTAAAGACGTAATTTAAAATAACAATTATAAATGTAAATAAAACTGCCATATTTACAAATGGTTAAGATAGGACCAATCAATATTAATAAAATTTTATAATAAAAAAGTAAATTTTTATATACGATAATAATATTTCAAGTTAACTTAAATTGATAATTAAAAACAAAATAAACTTTCACAGAGTTGATGAGCAGAATTATATTACAATCATAATTTATGTTTATTATTTAACAACAAATTTATAAAAGTTTCAAAAATATATACTCCATATTATAAATTATTCCAATACAAATATATAAATAGAATAAGCGTTAAAAAGATTTGAATAAACATACGGAGGCAATATTGTTATTTAAAGGAAAGCAGTGACTGACTATTCCGGAGTCCGGAAGTTTCGCGCCGAAACCAAAAAGAGGAAAAAGAAGATCCGAATCGTAAGAACACAATATTCTTCCAATAGAGAAAATGGCTTGTTCGTACTGATAATATAAATATGTACAACAAAGTTTACAAATATATTATTATTGTATACAATACTTCATTGTTCGGACCTAAAAAATGTAAAGATGATGGATTCTGCGGGTCTCTATATTAGTAATATTTATTACTATATATAAAATTTTAATAACAAATATATAATAAAGTAAACTAGATAATTAATATTAATAATATAATATAAAATATAAACTAATAGTCAACTTATGAAATTAATAATAAATAAATGTATATGAAAAATTAAATTCTTCTCTATTTAATAAAGGTAATAATAAATTATAAGAACGATATGATACTACCCATTGGAGGAAGTGAAGTCAATGCCAACAATCAAGTTAATATCCAAGCCTCCACGGATAAACTCCAAAAAGCTGAAGTGCAATAAAAGTAGTGAAGACCAGAAAAAAAGAACTTCAAAAAAAAAAATTATTTATAGGTCACCCAAAACGTTATAAACAAAATAATTTAAAGATAAAATTTTACTGATGAATATATTAGTATTTTCATTAAAAAATTTGCAAGCAAAAATGAGATAAACTTCAAAAAACTTGTGTTATAAAAATAGCAAAAAGGAGGATTATAAAAACTTTAATGAAAAATTCAATAAAACTTTTAGGACAAGTTGCAATAAATAGTGAAACCAAAATAAATAACTGAAAATTAAAATGCAAAACGTTACATACCAAAAAATATTTTCATAGTTTCATAAAAAGTTAATGAGCAGAAATAATAATACGCAATAAATTTTTTACGTTGACTCGCGCTTAACTTCAAATAAATGAACCAAAAAAATTCCAGAGTTCTTTTTTTTTATTGAATTCTTCAGAACAATAGAAGTATTATTAAGGTTAGCCTCCTGCAACTTCGCAGCAGTAGTCTAAAAAAAATAATACACGTAAGTCAAAACAGTTTTATTTTTTTTATAATAAAAATAAATACATTAGCTCTGTTATATTATAAATAATAGAAAACTTAATTATCAACAAGAAAAATATTAAAAGTAAATAATGCTTTTTCTTAGAAAAAAAAGTAGAACTGATTGGTGATACATAAAAAAAATTTTATTTTAAAATCAAATTTTAATATTGAAGGTTTTATATTCTTTTATTAGAAAAAACTAATAAATAAACAATAAGACTTTTGTTTGGTTTTTTATACGAATAAAACAAGTTTTGTTTTTGCTTATATACAAAAAAAGTAAGAAAGTTTAATATAATATAAAAACTTTTCATAACCAACATACGTATATATCATATAGTAAAAGTTATGTTTTTCATAAATAACTTTTACTTGAACTTTTTCAGTAAAAAATGATGTTAATGTTAATAAATATAAACTGAATATAAGTAAACAAATAATCAAAAAAATTGATGAAGGTAATACCATAAATTCACCAATCAAAACCTCGGAGCCAAAGAAGCCTTTATGGAAGCACTCAACTTTCAAATTTCTTTCATTGATTATAATGATATCATAAAAATATACGTTAAAACATAAAAAAGAGTCCGCAAAAAAGAAGAAAGCTTTTTTTTACTTTTTTTTTATTATTATACTTTTCTTATTATAAACCTAAAAACATCAAAAAGCGAATTTCACAAAAAAAATTTTTATTTAATTATAAAAGTTTTATTAATAAAAATATATAATATATAAAAAAATAATCATTCAATAATTATATATTAAAAAAATATAAAGTCTTAATAAACTTAGAAAAAATAAAAATAAGTGTTAAGTAAATAAAGGTTTATAAACCATATACAATAAGATTTAAAGCTACGATAGTAAAATAAAACAGAAGAACATAAAATTAAAATAAAAATGATAAATACTTATAAAATAATAAAAAGTATATATAAAAAGTTTAATAGCTACAATATCTTAATAATATAATAAAATAAGTTTATAAATAATATGCAAACATGTGAGTAAAATACTACAAAAAAACTTAGAAATTTAGTTTCATAAATTAAATAATTAATATAATACAAAATGTATTGAATGTGTTACAAATAATAAAAGTGTATAAAAGTTATCAATATATAAAAGAATCACGCATCTTTTAGCATAAATTAAAACTACCCCGATAAAGTTTTATAAATTATTATATAAAAAATTCATAACAAAAAGAAAAATACAAAAAATATTTTTTTAAGCAAATTTAATATATACATTTTTGAAAATTTTAAAAAAGTGGACGTCTTTTAATGCTTCTTATACCTTAGTACGACTAAATAGGTATAAAATGCTCTACTTAGCTTTATATATTATTTATACGCGAGTCTATTCTTAAACAACTTGTTCCACTTTCCTTATCATAATTCCGTATTAATATTTTTTAATATTATACAAAGTCGTTTCTTTCCTGTATTATTATTAATAATAAATAAAAGAATAATATAAAAACCTGTGAAGGTCATTATTGCATAACTTTTGAGCAGAAATATGAATTTTAGAAAAAACCGGATGACGTGTAGATCTCTTTTGAGCTTCTGACTATAATAATAATATAACAATTATAATAAATAAAACTTGTTACATATCCTTAAAAAAAACGCCTCTTTAGAAGTTTGTAATAAATAAGCAGGACGGAAGTATAGTAGATATTAACTTTATAAACAACGTCGTAGGAGCCGTCCTCTCTGACTCGAGAGATCCGTATAAACGGATAGCAAAAAGTAAAGAGCCCTTTTCTATCCAAATCTTTCTGTAATTAATATTATTATAACATTCATTACTATTAAATATAAAACGTAAAAATAATAAATAACGATAATTTACCATAATAAAATAAATAAAAAAAATGGTTAAAAGTGTTCAACATAGAAAAGATAAAGGAAGTAATAATAATATAATAGTGTTTCTCATAAAAAGTATTAATATAATATTCCATGATACTAATAAGAAAGATAATAAAAATAATAATTATATCAATGGCTATAAAATTATAAAAGTAGTAGATTTTAAAAAAAGAATTAATAAATAATAAAGATAATAAAAGTTATAGCGATATTTGCGTTGGTATGGAAAAACATTATCCAGTTAATATTAGTATTAACATATATTTATCACAATACATGTAATAATAGTAGAAGTAATGACAGTAATAACAGTAATTATTAATGTTATAGTATATAATAGTAAGAGAATAACAAAAATAACCGCTTTAAATAATATATAAATAGATCCTATATTCTCTCCAACTTCTTCAGCAGACACAATGAGATGACCTTTAATAATATCATAAATAAATATTAAAAAATCACATATATAAAGAATAGAATAATAATTAGTTTTCTGAAAAAATATATCCATATTTAATTTTTCAAAACTTAATAATAGACACTACTAAAGTTTGCATTCATATTCATCACATATAATTATAAAAACCAAAAAATAAAAATAATAGTGAAGTTTTCAATAAATATAATAGGTAATAATAACTAATTTTAATAAACTTATTTACATGGTAAAGACCTTATAAAAAGTTAAATTAATTTCAATAGTATTATGTAGATATTAACTTAAAATAAATATATATCAACATATTTCATACATTTAAAGTATTCATAAGTAAAAAAACAACGCAAAAATATAAAGGAGGATAAAACCAATATTATAAAGAAATTTTTGAAATCCTATTCTTTAATAATGCAGACATTTTATAAAAGTTGTATAAATAATTTTATATAAAAATTATTTATTTCTAAATAATGGTATCAAAAAGTTTGCATATATAATAAATGGAAAAAAAAAACCAAATAAATATAATTCATACAAAATAAGTAAATTTATTACTTAAGTCTAGAAAACCTCCACTATTATTAATAAAAGATAATATTTACACTATTTTCATAATTTTACAACAGTTGCGGATTATTCTCTAACTCTAATTAGTGTTAAAATTTTTTTTATTATATTACTAATCAAACTACCAAAAATCATAAATGAGAAGTAATTTTTCTATATATAATAAATATTTTTCTAATATTAAATTTTCCATAAAAAATTTTATAACAAAAATATCAATCAAAAAAAATAATTTATTATAACTATATAACAAACTTATTTTCAAAATAAATTGTTATTATGTAATATACAATAAATAAGATTTAACATTTTATTTTTTAACATAATGAAATTTATATTATTATTTTTTTTTTTACAAATATAATATTTAGTATTTATAATAAATACTAACTTTAAAAGACATAAGAGACGATATCTGATATAAAGCTTTTAGTTTGTATACCTAAAATAAAAAAATAAACAATTTTAAAAAAAAATTTTTTTAATTACTTTTACTTTTTATTATTTATTATTCTAATAGATCAGATATTAATTTATTTAGTACAAAAAAAAAATTTATATTTTTCTTAAAACTTAAACCGTTAAACCTTTTACTTCTGTAACATATCATGTCAAAAAAAACTTCTAACTTTTGGTTAAAGAACAAACGTTTATTAAAATATAAGTAAATAATAAATATATGAAGTTAAAAATATCATATGAAGTAGTAGCCTAAATAATAATAAAATATTCTATAACTTTCAAAAATTTTTTAATAAAAATTATTACAGAATTTTTTTTACAAAATCTTAAGCCTGTATATATTTCTTTTAAAGGTTATATTTTAGTTATTATAACTTTTAAGTATTATAATTTAACTCCAAATAAAATAAATTATGTTCTTAAAAAATTTCACAATATTTAAATATACAATATAAAATATAAAAAAAGTAGTAAAAAACCTTTGTCTGTTTAATATAAATTATACCAACAATATAAGAATTATTATAGGCAATAATAATAACTACTTTCAAACAAATAAAATAAATATAAAAAGCTATAAACTTAGCTTTATATAAAAATCAATCCTTTTTACTACCGCTGACTTGTAATAAACAATTTAAATTATTAATTATATACTTTTTATTCAACTTAAATCTTAAATTAACAAATTACAAAAAACGTTTATATTAAAAACTTTTTTTACTTTAAATTATGAACTTAAATATATTTTGCTTTAAACAAAAGTTATATACCAATTCTTTTACCTTTTAATTGATAACAAACTATACTTAAGATTTTTCTGCTTTTAGTTATTAATTTTTAAGTATATAAATTACTATAAAAGCATTAAAAAAACTTTATATATTTTGCTTTAGGTAACTCAAATTAAAAATTTTAATAATTATTAGTTAAATTCTTTAAGTCACTAATATAATAAACTTTTGTTATATTAAAAAACTTTTCTACTATAAATTCCTATATAATTTTTCATTATTTGCTTTACATAAAAATTAAATTAAAACAATTCTTTAATAAAATATATACAAATTTTAAAAAATAGATTTAATTATAAATAAAATAATTTTTTTTAAAATCTTAAACCTTTAATTTATTAATTATAGTTAACTTATTTACGTTAAAAAACTTTTCTTATACTTTTTAAAAGTAACTATAAATAGTAACTGAAAAAAAATTACTAAAAATAAAATTAATATGGTACAAAATAAATATAATAATTTAATGTACAGTTAATAAAAAATCAAAACTTTAAATAAAAAAGTACTAAACTAAATTTTATGATAAAAAGTAAAATATTAATTAATTATTTTCCTTTTATTTATTACTATATAATAAATTTCTTTAATCTTATAATTTTATTACGTTTTCTAATTAGTACTTCATAAGGTCATATTACGTATAATATGTAAAATAAAATTATTAAGATTATATCAAGTAATATTCTATAAAATTAAAAATATTAATTTAAAAAAATTAAAAAATCCTACCAGGATTAGAAATTTTTGGATTTTTTAATGCCTTCATTAATTTGGAGCCTGGAGAGCCTACGATATCACCTTATATCAATTAATATAAATTTGTAGCGATCTTTCAAAAAATTAAAAAATTTAAAAAAATATTAATTAAAAGTAAAATAAAGTTTTAAGGAATATAAAAATAAATAAATAAGGTTAAAAGTTAAAGCCCGAAGATTTATATGGAATATATAATGGTTTAATCTTAGTTATCTAAATTGAAAAATCAATAGAGTTCAATTTATGTAAAACCGCTATCTCCGTATATAAGTTAAAACTATAATCAACAATCAAATTATAGTAGTAATTTTAAAGAATATAAACCAGGTAAACCTATTTAAGTTAAAAAGTAAAAACATTGACTGCAAATATAAACTCCAAACTAAATCAACGTAACAATATAAAAAGTATTCTTAAATTAAAATAAATTAATCAATTGAAGTAATAAATAAAAATAGATTTGTAAAAAAAATTTTAAAAAAAAACCTAAGCAACATTGCATGCTTCCAATATAATCCTGGCTTTTTAGATCTTTGGAAAAAATTATATAAATTAATATTTATAATAAAATTTTATAAAGTTTAATAAATTAAAACCTTTTTTATCATTATCTATATCATAAACTTCAAATTTTAATTCTTGCAATTCTTCAAAATGATAGGATAGTATAATAGTTTGTGACCAGTTTGGGTTTAAGTTATCACTAAATGTTAAAAAATTAATAAGTAAAAAACGTTAAAATAACATATATATATATTACTTAATTTTTTCCGTTTGTCCTATTAGCTTCCAATTATTCTTTTTCTTTTCTTTTATATACACAAAAGCCTGAGGATCACTCTTTGAAAAAACATCTAAATCAGACAAGTTTCTAATCAAAAAAAAGCATATATTTAATATTATACTTATATCATAGTATAAAGAAAAAAAAATTTAAAAACCTTCCTTGCAAGTGCAGTTCAACCTTCTGATACAAATCACTCATTGCAAAGCACAACTAAACAGTTAAGCGCTTACGCTATAAACCTTTATATTATGACATTTGCGTTGACCATCTATCTCGAAGTTCATTGGTTAACTCTGGAATGCAAACAGCGGTTATCACAAATGCGGTTGCTCCTTCAAAAAATTTAGAAAAAAAAATGCTGTCAGATTTTGCTGCTGCTTTTTCCACTATTGGTTTTTTTAAAAAAAAACTATTTTTTTCCTATTTTCATCATATTTACGATATTAATTATATATACTGATGGTTAAAAATTCGTAGCACTAACTTACTGCTGATACTTGCTTTTTTTTCCCTCTTTTATTTACATGTTAATTCTTAATAAAATAATTAAAAAGTAAGATGTCTTAAAAAGTAAAAATAATTTTTAATTTTTTATTGCATAAAGAATACGTACTCTTAGTAAACCTTAATTATTTAAATAAAAGATTTCATACTCAATTTTTTAAATAATTTTTTTTAAATCATGAATCTTAAGTAACTGCATACAAACAGATAGCTGCTTAGTTTTTTACACATTAAATTGGACCCTCAATTTTTTTTTCACAACTTCCGGTTAAGCCGGAATCAACCGCAACTTCACGGTTGGGTGCCCTTAAACCGTTATAAGGATATACATTCGACACGCTTCCTTACCCATACGACGGATAAGTTTTCCGGGGCCCTTTACATCACTAAACTAGGATAGCTCAGGGGCCCAGGGGTTCGGCCCTTTCTCTTTCTCTGAGCTCTTCTAGATCTAGAACCTCTCGGTCTTGGCTGCCAGGCGAGCTTAAAGGTTCAGGTCTATTTTCCTAGAGTCTTCTGAATCCTAGAAATTCCATGAATTCGTCCGCTTCTTGATATCGAACTCGTGCCCTGAACAATTTACCCGGCTAAGGGTAAGGGGGTGTGTCGAACATGTACTCTTATAACGGCTTAACTGCACCCAACCGTGGGGCGTCCTCTTTTGAATTTGCGGTTAATTTTGGCAAAGCCTTAATCAACTCTTTAACGGACAAAACTCTGGGGCTTAAAATATATTTGTTTTACGTTCCTTGGTAACTAAATTTACCACTTCATGTTTGGTTGGTTGCCACCTAATTCGTTAGAATTTGGTACTAAAACCTACCAGAGATTGTTTCAGAGACCGAGCCGTCGTTTAGTGCCAGTTTTCAGACCTGCTCTGGCATTTTGCAACCTAGCAACAAGTGGTAAACAACAGTAACCTATAAGGGTTAAAAGGCTTTAGCTTTTCAGAAATTTTTTAACTTTCCTTTTTGTATAATGGAGAGCGGTAGGCGTCTCTCTATAGTGCGTTATAGCCCTGGAAAATCTAACTTTACATTTAATTTAGCGAGCACGAGGAATTTATAGTTACGATAGGTTTATAGTATTCCTTCCACATGATAGAAGTATTTTAGGTTTTGATAGTTATTTGTAATAAAGCGCCTTCTTACTTTTGCTCTTGACTGTTCTGCTTTAACTCTCAGATTTTTATTTGTTTTTAAAATTCGTTGTAATAGTAAATATTCTTTTTATATTTTCTTCCTATCTATATCTTTAGACTTAATTTGCCTTATTATTGTATCATGTATTTGTATTTTCATTACACCAATTTCTGTTAGTTCCCCGTTATATACCTATATAGGCCGTTATAAACATTATTTGCGGTATAACAATATGAGTTCGGTTTAAGCTACTAGCTTTGTTATTAGTTTTTTTTATAGATTATTATTGTTCTTTGCAAAATTATAATGTAAATATAATAGTTTCTAACTGCTTTTCGGTTACTTAGACTTTTATTTATGCTCCTATTAATTTTTTGTTTTCAACGCGGAATTTTGTTAGGTCTTGCTATTTAAGAAAGTTTCTCCTGTTTCGTTTAGGGGCTTAGTGGGAGTTTAATAATTTATCATCTGGGGACCTATATATTTTTAAGGTTATAACTGTTACAATTCGGGAGGTTATAGGTTTTCTGAAGATTATAAGCGCAAGAGGATGAACTTATAAAAGTTACAATATGTAAGAAGGAAAAAACAAAAAATAATTTAACTTTGAGTAATAATAGTTGACAAAATAAGAGCTTAGAGCGAGAATGGAGCTAAAGATGTGCACAAGGGTGAACAGAACTTAATAAAAGACCGTATAATAAGAACAGAATTTAAATATATTGGATATAGAAGCATAAGTAACTTATAGAGAAAATAAGCGACAGGCGCTTTATATAAAAAAAAAATAACAGAATCAGCTCCTATATCTTTTTTGTGGAGGGTGGCCTACTACTGACAGGTCTTTGTAAGAGGTCTTAAGTCGCTCAGTCTGAATTCTCCTCTTCTGCAGGAGTTAAGGCGTGGCTTTCCATATAAGTATACGCTTTTAAAAGATATAATAACTTTTCCGAAGGATTGAAAAAGCGGAGAATATCCAGTCCGGGCTCTATCCATATGGTCTAGTATGGTGGAAAACCTCTAAAAACCACTACCGAGAGAGGTAGCCTTGAACAGGTTGAGTACGTAAAACCATCATACCTGAACCGAGAATAGTCGTGGGGGTCTTTGCGGTCAAGAGCATGAGCATTGGCGCCCATACTCACTCAAGGACGTGGGCCTAATTTTCACCGACGCAACTCTCTTTTTCGGCCTTTGATGATCGCGATTTAACCTCGCCCTCATAATTCTAAAAGGCCTTAAGCACATGAATCGAGAGCACCTGGAGACACCCGCCAGCACCACTGCCAGCCAGGCCTCCCTGACTTTGAGCTCCTCACTCAAAGAACCCTTGGGCTCCCTAAATTTGAATGGTTGGTTCGAATCCTTAAATATCTTGTTTAAGCGCTAAGCACGCAAATATAAAAATTATGCATTGGTTACATTTAACATAATAAATATCATGAAATTAATAATGCGAACGCGAGCAAGATCATAGCAGTGGCCTTTAGTAGGAAAAACCCTTTTTAAAGCTGGTCATAGTATGCTAATATAAAAATATTATTATACTCAGAAGTTAAAAAATCTTCAAGTATTAAATTGAGTCATATAGTGATAGTAATGTAGTCAATAACGTGATCCCACACCCATTAAAAATTGATTAATAATTTTCTATATTCTTAACCACCTACGCCCTTATTTTATTGGGCTAAGGAATAATAACTGGTAGTAGAAAAAGCAACTTATATTCAGTGCTCTCTGTCAGACTTTATTTAAAAATTAAGAAAAGTCCCTGTTTCTTTCTCTGGATTTTCCATTAGGAGCCACAGTTAAGTAATGTTAAGCACGTTTTTTTATTGATTTGTATTACTTTTTTGATTTTTTATTTTAAATTAGTATGGAAGTTCTTTTATGTTATTGTTTGTAATTCCTTAATCCGTTATAAGTTATTAAAAGATTTCACATGCGATTTCAATTTCTGTTAACGGTACTTGTCTTTGCCTTTACGACAAAAAAGATTCGCTCACAGAGGAACTAAGAGGAAAGAGGTTTCCATCTACGCAGAATCAAATTAGCAGCTGTTTATATAGTAGCTTTTTGGTATTTCGGACCAAGTGTAATTTTTTAAAAACTTTTATTAGTTCAAAAATGTTTTACTCAGTAACAAACAAGAGATGTAAAAACTGCGTAGCGAACAAGTCTATAAGCAGGTGCTACCTTCCCTGTATCAGCGGGAGGATTACTACTGTTCCGAATCAGACTGGGGCTATTCAGTCTGATACTACCATCGACGGTACGGGCTTAGCCTAATCTAGCTTGGCTGATGAATTGTGTTCAAAAAGTAAATTACTGAACGAGCGATGTATCCTATAATCTGCCCCGTAGTTTTACTTTGTGTGACCGTAATGACAGGTTATACGTTTTAATTAAATCTTTGTAAAAACTGAGTACCTGCCAATATTTTATACGCTATGTTAACCCATTATCTTAACAATGAACACTGAAAAGATCTGTTAGATAGTAAGTACCAATTTGAAGGGGGCCTTTAATAAAGAGTTACAATATTGCAACTGCAGCAACGCAAGCTGGAATGAACTTAAAATTAAAAAGAAATGAAAATTATATTTGTAACAAACACTGTAACTGGGCTTATACTCTATTTCTTTTCAAGTTTTCATGCGCAATAACTAAAGCGTATAAAATTATTAATTATACTAAATACTAAATAAATTTCTGTCTTTAACTTTTAAACCGTGACCCTATAAGACGAATTTTACTTATCATATGCTATATAAAACTTTTAAAATTTTTCCCACTTAGCTGATAATTATTAACCAAAAATTACTATCAAAAATTATCAATTTATTTAATTCAAACTATTTATTACGCTTATCGGTGCTCAGACTTTAAAAAATTCTCGAAGGACCACCCAACGTTAAAATTTTTTCCCCGGTTATGTAATATCTTAGCAGTTATTCGCCACATCGGTCGTTTTCTAACCACTTAAAGCTTTGCAGCAATTAAAATTTTCACATAAAAACTTACTACTATCTACTTTTCAGTAAGCAGTCCTCCTCACTAAATTATTTATTAAAACTATTTAAAAATTAATGTTTTACTATATAATAAAAAAAACATCAACGTAAAAGGTAGAAAAAATTATTGCTGTTTAACTAAGTTTTATTTTAAAAACATTTAACAACTTCTAAAATTAAGCACGTTTGTAATAACTAATAATCCGTATTTCCGTTAATAATTTTATCCCCAATAATAATAAAATCTGCAATCCACCTATAGCTCAAACATAGTTCCCATATTCATATACGCCATTGGCTTGACATCCGGATGAGGCTGTTATTAATAAATAAAACAATATAATAACTTTAATGCATAATAAAAAGACTTTAGAAAAATACCACGTGCGTGAATGTTTTAAATTGGGGAGAAAGATCGTTTTTTGTAACCGTGAGAATAGCCCCTTTGTTACCCATTTGATCACTATTTCATATAATAAAACAGATAAAAAGCTTTTATTGTCTAATATTGATTACATAATTTGAAATTTCCTATTAATTTTAATAAATTTATAAATTTCAGGAAAATTATTAACAATGATGAGTTATTACAAAACCACGTTTCGCTAAAATAATTTTATTAATACATTTTTACTATTTTCATAAATTATAAGCCAAATTAGTACACTAAGAAATAATCGCTATCATATATTTTTCATTATTACTTTAATTTATGTTTAGAATTTTTGTTTTTAATAATTATATAAAACTTCATTATTTTTATTAGCATTAACTTATAAATTTAGTTTGTAATATTCATCTTTTCTACTACCAATAGTTGGGAGCTGAAAAAACGGTTATACACTTTCCGTCATGCGCAATTTCATAGCCATTATCTTTCACTTCGTGACTTCTAACAATATACTCTAAATATATACCAAAAAAAAAAGATAGTTATTACAATAATACATACAGGAAGTATATTTAATTAAAATAAGCAAAAAAATATAACAAAAAGTAAACTTTACAAAAAAAAAAGTAAAAAAATACATAAATAGATAATACATGTACACAATTATTACCAAGTAAGAAGAAAAGTATATAAAAAAGTAAAGGATAAAAAAAAAAACCGAGTTGGTTGTGAGCCAAAAACTGCTGCGTTACATCCGGGCCAAAGTGAAGACCTACACCTCGTTTACTGGGAGAGCGACCGTTCTAACGTGCAATAGCACAAATTTATAACAATATCAAATTAGTATTAATATATTTTTATAGTATTAATAATAACACATGCGCTATATAAACTTATACAAAGATATATACAAAAATTTTATGTTACATAAAATCGAATATATACAATAAATAAGTATTTCAAGTATGATTTCATTCATATATAAAAGGTTAATAACATTAATAATATATGTATTATATAAAACCTTATGTGTGAAATATATGTATACTGCGTCACAAATAATATATATAAGTAAACAATGTAATTTAATTTTATTAAAGCATAATATAATAATATATAAAACTGAAATGAGAATAAAGATAATCCACCTGAGGCATTGGATCCGACCATAAAAGATCACACATCAGACCTAAAAACATTATAAATACTTAACTTTTCTTTATACCATAATAAAATCTTTAAACTCTTTACTTCCACAACTCGAGTAAATATAAATATTATATAAAAAGAAAAATAGTAGTTACTAAATTTCCAAATGTTATAGTTTTCCACTGTAAAAAAAACACTTTATTTAACGTTAAACCTTCATTAAAAAAATAAATAAAAAAAATGCTGTAGTTAAGTTCAAGCAAACAAGTAAACTAATATAAATATGAAAAACATCGCTACATAAATAAAATTATTTAACTTACTTATAAAAGTGGAATAGTTATAATAAAAACTCATATAATACATAATCAAAAGTATAAAAAATTTAAATTGAAGAAGTACAATAATAATATTGGATGGGTTTTAAAAAATTGTAAACGATCAAATATAATAATTAAGAAACCTAAAATGTAGTATATAAAGCAACGAGCAAGAGCAAAAGTTATGATCACACTTTACTTTAATTTTTATACAAAATTTAAGTTTTTCTAAAATTTTTACTTTATACATTAAGTTCCTAATATTTTTACTTAGTATGAAAAAACTATCAAAAAAGTGCAACAAAAAAAAAACTTAAAACTATAAAAATTATCGAAAAAACTAAAAAAATGTTTTTAAGATTAATATTTCCATTTATACTTGGCTTATATATATTTAAAATTATTTTTTTTAACTAAAAATAAATATTATTTTTAATATAAAAATTTTCAAACTTTCCTTGTATAGCGCAACCAAGTTGGTGTAATAATCGAGAAGAGCGTCATAGAGCTCGTAAAAAGTAGTTAAATTTAGTTAGCAAAAATATATTTTTTATAGACTTTCTAACTGGTTATTATCCAGCCAATGAAATACGCCAAATATTCGCGGAAAAAAAGCAAAATAAGCTTATTACTCCTCGAAATAAAAAAAAATATAATAAACTATTTAACAGTAAAACAAAAGTTTATAGCATGACTTTTAAGTAAGCTCTATGCTTCTCTGCTTTTTAACAGAAAAAAAATAATAATAAAGGTTTACAAGAAAATTTAAATTAATATTATTAAGTATTGTTGTTGTTATTATTTAAATTCCTACCAGATTCAGGAGGCTCTTGAAAGCGGTTAATTTTCCTGATGTCGTCAAGAGTAACACCATCTTCGCTGAACAGACCACCATGAACACACTCAAAAGTAATCTTTACTAAAAGAAATTTACCTTGGAAAAAAAAACTTACAAAAATCTTTTTTTCCACGACATAAGCAAGTGGCAAACAACAAAAAGTTTCATGAAAAAGTTTAAGCATAAGTTCGGTGCCTTTGGCCTTGACCTCGCCAGCAAATCCATACATGCGATTCATCGAAACGGTTTCATGGTTTCCACGCGATAAAAAAAAGTATTCAGGGTGCAGAAGCTTCAGAGAAAAGAGAACGAAAATCACTTCGTAAGAAAAAGAACCACGATCGACAAAGTCCCCGTTAAATAAATATAAGTTATTAGGGCCCGGGTATCCGTTGATTTCAAAAATATGAAGAAGATCATAAAACTGTCCGTGCGTGTCGCCGCATATATTAAAAACAGCATTTTCAGGGATGTCTACGTATACGAGGCTTTCATAACCAGCAAAAAGTTTGCGGGCCTCTATAATAATCTTTAAAAAAGAAGTTAAGAGAAAATAAACATTAAGCAAGCAGAAGATCTAAACTTGAAAAGCAAATTTTTTATGAAGTGGTTTTTGATCTTTAAACCAAGAAATAAGACTTTTTAAAAAATCTTCAGTAACTTTGCCGTCCGAGGGGAGGGAAGGTCCTAAATAAGAATCTTCTACTTCTACAAGGTATAAAGTGTTAATATAACTTAGGAAAAAATAGTTGGAAAATGTTTTACTTATAGAATCCAAGTGGATATCATCAACTACTGACTTTTTACAGTCATCGAAAGAAATTGCTTCCACAAAAAGAATTTGTCTAATTATCTTTTCACATTCTTTGGACTTCTCTTTAGCAACTTTATTTTTTGGTGCTAACTTGGTTATCTTAATACAAACAAATAAACAAAAACAAAAAAGGTAACGCCAAATATATTATATAAATAGTGAGATTAAACATAATCATAAGAGCTTAATAAACTATTCATTATTATACGTACAATACTAAACCAAATTTTATGTAAAATAATTAAACTAGATCAAAAAAATGCAGCTGTAGAGTAATTAACTATAACGTAAAAATATAAAATAAATTTAAACCGTTTGAAAATCTTTTAAGCTTTCTTTGTATTTGTTTAGAGCAAGGTTAGCAGAAGCTCTTCGATAATATCCCTTTTAATATATTATAAAAATATTAATGCTCATACATGACAGTTAAGCATACTATGACTTTTAAATAGTGCGGATCGAGTTCGATAGCTTTTGAGCTATCAGCAAGGGCGTAACCATAAGCTTCAGTTTTAAGGTAAGCCATAGCTCTATTCGCCAAATAAATAGCGTTGTTACTATCTAGTTCAATAGCTTTGGTGTAACAGTCAATAGCATCCTCGTATTTTTTTTCTAATAGAAAAGCAAATTAAATTTTGAAAACTAAGAATAATTTTATTTAACCCTTATAGAAATCATTCCCAAGTTTTTTAAACTCCTCAGCTTCTAAAAATGTTTCCCTTAGGTCAATTGCCATAATAGTTTAACTTTAAAACTTAGTAGCCTCCTAAGAATTGAACTATACAAAATTTACATTTAATTATACTCGCAAGTACTATAAATAATTACAACTTTTTTTTCCTAAAACGAGCTACAGGCACATGTTAATTTTTAGAAGTTTATTGGCGCAGAAACAGTTATGGAAACATGGGCAATAAGAAAGTTTTCTTTACTAACTAGTTAGTGTGTAAAACATTGTAAATAAATAGTAACTGTGAAGTGAAAGAGTTTAAAGTTCTAGAAAAGATGACTAAAAATATTAATTTCTTTTTTAACTATTAATTAATAAGTTAAAAGCGGAGGAAAAAAGAATAAGATATTAATTGTTATAAGTTTTAGTACTTACTTCGTGCCTTTACTAAAAGAATATTCTTGAGCTTTATACTACTGGTGGTATACATTTTAAAAAAAAAGATTTATAACATTTTTTAAAGGTAACTTCAACAGGAGGAGTGGTTAAGAGTTACTTAAATAGTGACTCCAAAGGAATATTTAATAACAAATGAATTATAGTTTAAATCTACTGGTAAGTCGCTGGGCTCTTAATTAGCAAGAGCGCTTTCCTTAAAAAAAGATTTGGTAATTATGTTTGTTAAATCTATTTGCTGGTTATATAAGGTAAAAGGTAGTTTCTATTCGGGACTTTCTCTTGTGTGAAATGATAAGTTATGATGACATATAAAAAACATTTTTTATAAGCATAACAGTGCAAATTTTATTATTTTACAGCTTCATTAACTACAATGTTATATCGTGGAGTTGCCCGAATGGATCTACATAGTTAGGTCGTAATTTTTTGCCCCAAAGAATTAAGCAACACTACCTTGAACAACTTGGATAAAAAAGAAACAAAGTTATATTAAATACGAACTTACATAGAACTATGAACAATTAAATTTACATTTTTTGTCAACAGTGCCTCCAACCATGAGTATATAAAAGCTTTTAAATTTAAAGGCCAGTCACCTATAGCTGCGCCTACCATATCCAAGCAATATTGACCACTGCACTTACTAGAGACACCTCCAGCTGCTCCAAATTCTGTGGTTTATAGAGCAGCTTTTTTATCTAAATACGGTCAGAATTTGTAGTTTGAGGAAATTGTCTAGACTTAATGAGGCCAATTTTTCTTCTCTAAAAAAAGGTTCTATATTATCGCGACAAAACCATGCTCGCGAGGATTTTGCTTTGTGCGTTGATACTGAGTCCTATAAAAACTCACCGCTAATACTTGAGTATAATGGTGCTTGGTGACTTCACAGTTCTCTCCATGTTTTCTTGATACACATGGCCCCAGTTTTGACTCCTTTTTAACTAAAAGAACTTTTGTGGTCCGAGGATTGAAACGTCCAATCAAACCATCACAGATGCCTCGTTGAAAAATGGGAACTTTTTGGAAGCTTCACAACTATGAGCAAATACCCTGTCAATATCTTATTTAATTGTTATTCTATAGTAAAAAAAATTTTTAGAAAGAATTTATTGTCCTTGTTGCCAACGTACCGAAGTAGAAACAGTTTTGCTCTTTTTGCCCGATTTCTTTAAACGTGATGTAAAGATGACCCTTTTTTGCTACGATAAACATGAAGTCCGAGGTTCCCATTTATGCCTAGATTCAAGGAGTCCCTTAAAAATTAACCTGCGAAACTGTCAACTTCGGTTTTTGTTAAGGATTTTGGCGAATAAGAGTTTTAACAGCTTTTATGACGACTGGTGTTAGCATGGTCCGAGGTTGAACAGAGCAGGGTTTTTGTCAGCAGCAAAGGAGACCTCCGTGCATGCTGGAGGGTGCGATAAACCAAGTTCTTAATAATTTAAAAATCATTATTGTGAAGCAATAACAGCAACATGATTTTTCTGCACTCCACTATTTAAGAACTGTGTACGCCTTCGTATTTAACAAAGACAGATATTTAAAATGACGTGTTTGCAATGGTTGCACAGATCGTACAAAAAAACAATAAAATTCAGAAAGAACATATACTGAACCATGTATGCTTCACACAATATTACAGGCACGTATATTATAATATTTAAACTTCGGCACCATGATGGGTTTACAGCAAGACCTCCGCTTGGTAGGTTGTTATAAAGCGTTTTTAATTTTCAGCTGTTCTGTATATGTTTTTAAAATTTAGTTTTGTTCATAACTAATCTATTTATTTACAATTCATCTTTTAGTTTTAGTCTTAAGTTTGCTATTTTTATTTTTATTATTTACATCTTGCCTTTTTATTACATATATCATTACCTATTTTAATAAAGATTCCTTAGTCCGTTGTTAATACTTAGTAAAACAAGTTTACTAAGTAATTACTTATTTGTCTTCTAGACTACTAAGCTATTTATTAACTTCAACTAAAATACCCTCTAGACGTTTAGTCTTTGTTATAGCCCTCTATACTAGAACTATCACTTTTATAATATCGCTGGTCCTCTAGACCAATGTGAAACTAAAACATTAAAGGCGCGTAAAAACCGAAAAAGAAAGAAAAAAATAGGAGTAGTAGAAAAAAAAAATGGACAAACCGTTATGTATTTTTTCTATTTTAGGCACTAGCATACTACGGCCGGGCTAAGCCGCTATATTTATTTATTTACTAATGGCTTTTCTTGGTGCTTGATCGAATACAGGAGGCTCTCAGACAGGTTTTCATCGTCCACAAGCACAAGTGAAACTATATTATATTATGTGAATTTCACTTACAATTTAAACTCCCAACTTACCTTTTTACCGTTAGGCTAAATGTGTGCCGTCCCACAGCTTATAAGTGAATTCTTCTACCTTAAACGGCTTGATCTGAGTTCCCCGCAGAAGTCCTCCAATGTAGTAGTCTAAAAGCTACCAAAATCATAAATAATATAATTGAGAATACTCCAGAACATTTTTAATTTTCCCGAGAATCCATAAATTTATGTATAAATGCGTACAAGCCTAAGCCAAAGCCCACCAAAAGGGACTTTCTGGGGGAGTGCTCATAGCCTGAGGGGCCAAGCAAGCAGTGGAGTAACCGGTGTTTCCAGATAGTATCGGTTCTTGCTCTCTAGAGTCTCTCCTGCTGTGATGATCTTTAGCTGTTTTCAGCCACGCCAGACAGAGTGCAGCAGGAGTGCCGCCCAATATTTCTCACTTTATCGGTCCTTTAGGCGGTCGCGATAACTCTGGCGGGCTCACGCCCCCGGGTACCCATGCTGGCTAGTGGAATACGGATTAGCAGTTTTAGACCCCTATGGTCTCCACTCCACTTTGGCATTACAAAAAAGAAAGGGAAGTGAGGACAACCCAAAGCCATTTTTTGTCTTGCAGTTTTTGGATATGGCTTGTACACCTCGACTACTTTTTACTTAGGTTGAGAGACTTGTTAAAGCTTATTAAAATATTATATATTATTTATTATTATTGCTATTACTATAATCATTATTTTTTCGTTATAACATTTTTATTTATCTTTATTTATCCACGTTTTATCTGTTATAAAAAATGAATCCCTTTACTGAAGAAGGGCTGCGAACCTTGCTTGCTAACTTATTAGCTGTCAACAAAGAACTCAAAAGAGATTTAGACTCAAACCAAAGCTAAAACGTATTGAGCACACTAAAACTACTCAGGACAAACTAAAGCTAAGAGACGAAAGGAGCCTGTTGATATGTTGACTTATAATAATGTTTACTCTGCTTTACGAATTTTTCTAAATCAGTCACAGACTTTTGAAATATTAGAAGAAAGCGAGAACTTACAGTTGACCAAAAAAGAAACTCAATGGTAAAGTTGGTTTTGGTATTAATAGTAGTAGGAGTAGTAATAGTAATATTAACACTTGCTATAATAGCATTTCTATTCATACCATAGCCGAGAGCGACCACACTATTAGTAATATTAATATTTTAAGTAGTGGTAAAATTTCTATTAATAATATGGTGGTAATATAACTTATAATAGCTTAAATAAGGGTAGTGAGAGCAGTGAAATCTGTGGTGACTTGGAAAAGTCCGCAAAAGTTTTACAGCAC